TTTTTTTCAAACTTCATTGAATACTTCTTCAACCTATGAACATGTGTTAACATTCAAGCCCACCCTTTTTAAAGTCACATTTTCTACAACTTTATTTGTATTTTTTATTTATTTAGGCAGCATGTTAATATATATTGTGTCTTATACATCTTGAATGGTATATGCTGAATGCATTAATGATCAATATATCTTTGTGACATAAAACGAAGATGCAAAAGAAGCTTTGGGTACCTTAAATGTTCAAATGAGAGCACCGCTGTATGAGATGTGCAGGGAAAAAAAGAGAGCTAAAGGAAGACGACAGAAACGGAGAGAGGGGAATGTGTGCTATCAGACCCCGGCCAGGCAGACGGAGAGAGTGAAATGATTTAAGACACATCTCCCATTCAATCTGTACTCTCTGCCCTCCATCTCTCCCTCAGGACTCCTCCTCTTCATTCTTCATCCCTCTTTCCTTCTGTCTTGATTTTCAGCCAACAGCCTTCCCTCCCGTGTTTCACTGCAAGGCGGTTGTCCTACAAATCTGACCGTGTTTAATTCACCTTAAGTCGGATTTTCTCCTGAAATAGGGAGGGCGATGAGCTGATTTTTGGGACACTATAGGTAAAAAGGTAGTGTGACGTCTGGAAATGTGTGAATGTGCATTTTGAAAGGGTCTGCTTGACCTCACTCCTCGCTGCACCTTGCCAAAGATTTGAAGTCAATTTGGGCTGAGAGGGTTGGATGGTGTACCGACGGCGTGCTGCTGAATGAGATGTGCAGACAAAGACAAGCTGATGGCACTTGTAGTTAAAACAACAACAACAGAAAAAGAAAGAGTGACTGAAAAATTCATACGATGCACAGAGGCGATTGTGAGCGATGGGGAAAAGAAAAAAATGATAAAAAGGAAGAGAGTGGAAGGAAAATGAAAGTAAATCTTTTGAGCTTTACTGCAAAAAAAGATTTAAAAAGAGGGAGTATTTGGGATCAATATAATGTAAGTTAAGTCAAGAATTCCAGTTTTCAAGCTTTTTTTTTGAAGCCTTTATGCAAAAAAGTTTAAATGAAAAATGAAAATACTGTTAGCTACTTTAAAAGGGAATAAAATATTACACACATTTCCTTTTTTCCCTCGTTTTTTTCTGATGAGGTTTGCCCTGATCGTGGTCAGACCCAAAGGCACTTCTTCTTCTCCTTCTTTTTCACCTTCTTAAAAATCTAGTTCATATTCAAAATGATGCCTGGGATTATTCAAAATTCATAGCAGTTTGCTTCTCCAGCCTTCCTTCCTCTCTATTTCCCGGGAATGTTTCTTGATCCATGTCCCCGTTCTTTCTCTCCAGGTCTGACATGTCACTTTCCCCTTAGATAGCACTTCTCCCTCCTACCTGTCTGCTGCTCCCTCCTAATCACTATCTCTCCCCCTCTATCCCTCCGTCAGTTCCTATTCCAGCTTCTTTCTTCGCATGTTTCCTAATCCCCCTCCCTTCCCTGCGATAATTCCTCTCCCTCTTCCCTCTCCCCATTCCAGCTCATCTCTGTTACCTCCCTCTCATCTCTCTCTCTCTTTGGCAGATGCACCACTGTCCTCTCTTCTCCTCTCCTCCCTCTCTTCCTGCCTGTTTATCTCACTCACGCTTCCTTCCCCCCTTTTTTCTCTTCCATCCATCCTTTTCTCTCCCCCTTCCCCCCAACCCCCCCTAAATCAGCCCTTATAGACTGCAGCGGCACACGTGTTCCAGACGTGCTCACACAAAGGCGAGGATGTGCAGGAGGTATTAGCGCAGTTACACACAAACATGCATCACACAGACACTCACAAGCATGCATGCACATTCAGAACCTGCAGCTAAGTCAGTGCTATTGCTGTCGTCGGTTGTCATTTTTTTTTAGGGAGAGGAAAAAGATATGGAAAGAAAACAGAAGAAAAATCAATGAAAAGATGAAAGGAGAGGGGATGAAAGCTGGACAAAAATAGGAGAATTGGAAAAAGGGGAAGTTAAAAGGGCAGGAGAGGCAGCTTAAAGGAAACTGAAAAGGTCAGATGGACAGAAAGTAAACAGAGATGAATGGATTAAAATAAAAACAGGCACAAGGATGGGGCTGTGATGGTGTGGATCTGGAAAAGAAAATGGGGCACAAAATTAGGGGAGAAAAGAGTGTCAGTAACGCATGCCGTTAAGAGTGAAAGGGAGAGTCAGAAGGCAAAAGCTGCACAAAAGAAATAAGTGAGTGTGTGTGTATGAGTGAGAGAGAGAGAGACTGTGAGGGTAGGGGAGGAGTGAGTGAGAGAGGGAGGAGTGAGTTAGGGAAGGAGGAGTGAAAGAGGGGTAGAGAGAGGGAGAGAGGGAGAGAGAGAGAGAGAGAGAGAGAGTGTGTGTGTGTTTGTGTGCGAGACATTGTCATCCAGTCCTGCCAGATACGCAGCAGCAGCCAGCTCCACCAGCGGACGGGATTCAGACGCATCGAGCAACACAAGGGATACGGGATTACACTCTGATAAAGAAGCAGCAACAACGTGGGGATGATGGAATAAAAACAAAAAAGCAAATTGATTGCTTCTAATTTCTCTTCCCACTTCTGTTTGGAGCATCCCACAAGCAGAGCACCTGTGAAAACACATACATATGATATATATATAAAATTCCTATACATATATATCAAATTATGCCTGTTTTCAAAGAAGCTGCAGCCGGAGAAGGACTCAGTTGACAGCAAATTCTATGCATGAAAAAATTGGAGGAAAATATTCATCATTTGGTTTAGGGGTAGAGATTTTTTTTGTCCCTTTTTTGCTCACTTGGAGAGACAAAAAAGACAAAAAAATACACTGACTCAAATGGGAAATTTGGAACGCGCGCTACTGAGTTATTGAAGCAGCAACCATAAAAGGGAAAACCAAAGAGTGTCTGCTGCTGGCAGTCCGTTATTTCCAACAGCGCTTCTTTTGAAAACAGGATTTTTTTTTTTTTTTTTTTAATCTTCCTTGGCTTCCACACTGCTGCTTGGCTGTCACATCTCTGCCTGTCTCTGTCGTCCGAGTGGGCCAGGGGAGCGTTAATCCAGCGCGCCTCTGAGAGTGCAGAGGGCAGTCCACAGGCTTTCTGACCCTTCTACGTCGATATTTCCTGTAAGCAACGGCAAAAAGCCCACACAAGCAGCCCAGGAAAGTGAGAGAGGAAAGGGGGGAGGTAAGTTTTGGGAGAGAAAAGAAAAAGAGGCTAAAATATCAAAGAGAAGATACAATCAGAGGGTAAACAAAGGGACAAAATTTTGAAAAAAGGCAGCGCAAAAAGACAAAGAACAAGCCAGGAGCTGTTACGTGGGACTCTCCACTTATCCCAGATTTTGTTGAGTGTTGGGTGCAGCAACACTAAGACATCAAGATCAGAGACTCACAACATCAGCCCTTCCCCTCTCTCTTTCTCCTCCCCCCTTTTACTCTTAGCACTTGTAGGGCAGGACTGTCAGAGGTACCTAGCTTGTGTCCCGGGTCCGTTAAGAACCACGGAGAGGAGGGGGGGGAGGTTCATTCAGAGCAGCAGCAACAGGAGACGAAAGCAGAGAGCCACTGGACTCATGCGTTTTGCTTAAAAGCTTCAGACTGACACTGACAGAGCTCACCAAGGGGATTTGTGAATGTGTGTGAGTGTGTTTGTGGGTGTATTTTAGTGTGTGTGTCTGTGTGTGCATGAGTGAAAACACGCCTCAGGTGCAAGAGGGGTCGCTTCTGGACTGTAATCAACTGAGGATTTCTGCTTGACAAGTGCTTGGAGTGATATTTTAAAGAATATTGAGCAGCTGCGGTTACCTGTTGTTTCTGGGAACAAGGAGGAGAAACATCCTGCACACCTGGACTGAATAAAAAGCTCAATATTTGATACCAGGGACTGAAGGATTGGAAGTCTCACAGAGGGAGTTACGTTCCTTAGAGTGGTCCAAAGTGGCAGCCAAAAGATGCCCACCACAAAAATAAAAAAGCTTTTGAACAGTGACATTCAGAGTAGGAGGATGATAGATGCAAGTTAAGCTCTGCAAGGAAAAAAAGTGGAAGAGACTGACAACTCCAGAGGAAAACACTTCACGCTGGTCCGAGTTTTTCCAGGACATCAGGACTACAGCACTTAACGGGAAGAGTTCTTATCCACTCAGGAATATGAGTCCATCTCCAGAGTGAAAAGTCTTTCATGTAGGAGTCTGTGACTATCTGCGAATTTTAGTGGAATCAGCTTTTTTTATTATTATTTTTTTTTCGCTGGCACCAAGGAACCAAGAGTTCTCACTTTTCACGGATTATTCATCCGCTCAGCAGGAGGAGCATATTGCTGGAAATGCCAGAGGCGAGTTCACTTGTACGTAACACGCCCTCTTAAACTGGATTCCCTCCAAGACACTGGATTTGTCTACAACTGCCTCTGCTGTCTGCTGATGACATATGGCTTTGTGAAAGGTGAAGTTTTCCTGCATTCTGGAATAGTATTTGCTTTAATAAACAAAGAACTGCCAAGGGACAACAGATGCAAATTTACCTTTTAACTACTTCTGGTACATCAAACGGTAACATTTATTTTCAATATTGCACATCCTGTTAAAATGAAATTAAGTTGACGAAAACTCACCTATACTCATACAGTTATCTGCCAGCGACTGTGATGTGTCTGCACACTTGGAGTCCTTGCCCATTTGGGACTCATTTATTTCTGTTAGGAGCATGTTGAGATGGGAGATTGATTTCTTTCTAACACTTGTTCTTGGGTCCCTTGATGACAATTCAGCTTCCTGTAACTGTGTAGAACTCCCACAACGATCACTGAATGCTCTGTCATTTTCTTCCCTAGGCATTGATATTGGTTAAACCCCATCTATTTATCAAAATATTGTCTCAGCTCTGAAAAAAGATTAAAATATAACTTTCTATGTCTTTGTTGTTTTTTCTTAACCCTAGGAGCTTTTCTTTAGGTCGGTCACCAATAACTCATCAGAGCTGAGGCATCACAAGACATTGGAGTAGGTCCAAGATGGCCGTCTCCACGCATCCACTACTGGTTAGCCTTTCATTGGCTGTGCTCCTGGGTTCAAACTCTCTTGGTGGACGGAACTCTTGGCTCTCAGGTCAGGCTTTGGCCCAGGTCTCTACCAACAACGAGACAACAGAGCCCAATGTGGTACCAGAGGCTGCACTGGCAACGCCCACACCAGAGTCAGAAGACAAAACAGTTGAAACTGCCGGTAACCGTTGCTGGGGTTACTATGATGTCATGGGCCAGTGGGACCCGCCTTTTAACTGTAACGCAGGTATCTATTTGTTCTGCTGTGGTTCCTGCTTCTACCGATTCTGCTGCCAGTTCAAAATCCACAGTTTGGACCAGACTTCCTGTTCCAACTACGACACACCTGTTTGGGCCAACACTGGGAAACCAGCAGCGCCCGTCACAGAGGTCCATGAGGAACCAGATCGCGATCGGACCCACATGATCGTGTATATTATCTGTGGAGTGGTGGCCATCATGGTGTTGGTCGGGATTTTCACCAAACTTGGGCTGGAGAAGAGTCAAGGAGGACAGACGGACATGACCAACTCCAGGTAGGAACTAGGAGGGTGGATCAATGGATTGTAATGATGTAAGGATGGGTGAATAGACTGGAGGATAAATTGATGCAATTATGGATGCATAGGCAGATGAGTGGATGTATGTAGGGATGGATTGATGCATGGATGGGTGGATGTATGGATTTTGATGAAATTACGTTTGTGACTGGATGGATGAGTTTACGGATGGACAGTGGATACGCATGAATAAAAGGACGGATAGATTGAAGGTTGACTAGCTGGCCGTCTGGATGGGTGGATTGATGGATAGATGGTTGGAAGAACAGATGGCTATAAAGAATGATTGATGGATGGATGAATGAATAAATTGAAAGATTGACTATCCATGGATGATGGTTGTGCAGATAGAGATAAGGCTAAATAAATGTGTAGATGGATGGATTGTTGGATGGATGGATTGATCGTTGCAAGGATATATAAAAATGGACAGATGCAGAGATGGATGCAAGGAATGGGAGATAGATGGATGTGTGAATAGATGGATGGATACTCAGAAAATGGATGGATCAATAGATGGATGTAAGGATGGATGGATTGGGGGATGAATGATTTAACTAGGTGGATGGATGATATTGGGCCTTGAAGGGAGTGATGGTTATTAAAAAGATGATAGATGTGACAATGATAAGCAATATAGTAAATGAAATGCATCATGATAATCAATGCCTTTGATTTTATTGAATTAGCTGATATTGGTAGCCTGACTTATTGATAGATGGTTTACTCTACTTTTTCTTTTTAAGTTTGAGATAAAAGAGGAAAGAAATCTGGTTGCATTAAGGTACATTTACTTATTTAGAAATACGTTAGGGGCTTTTTATTTCCATTTATCAACAAGAGTTAAATCTATTTGAATTTAAAAGATACATGTTAAAATGTTTGTTGTTTAAATGATCAGTCTGTAGGATTCCTACATTGATATTTTTCAGCCTTACATTTCAGAAAAAACTTGACTTGGGCTCATGGGTTTTGTAGTTCTGTACTTGTCACTTCCTACCATCCCGTGCATTGTTCTGCTAATGTGTGAGAGGGTCACCAGCTGAGGAATAAATCAACCGACTGAATCCCAGAGAGGTATTAATGGGTGGGATATCTGTATGCAACCATGGGAGAGCAATAGATAGGGATAGGGATCGAGAGAGAGAGAGAGGGCTGGATGGAAGCTCAAAAGGGCATTAGTCAGGTGATAGATGGGGAGGAGTTTGGGGGACATTACAGTGCAGTCGTACTGTGTTTTCTCTGTATCCGTATAGCCGTTTCACATTAATGGATGATTGATCGCTGTGACACAACTATGACTCTGGCAATGTGTGGCCCTGAGTGCACAACGAGAAGACAGAGGGGTGGTTTTTGGAAGGGACGAGTATTGAGCGGATCTGACTGGAGTACAGCCAACGGCTAATTCTAGTGCAGAGAACAGGGGTTTGTATTTGTATGTGAGGGGGAGGGAGAGACAGTGTGTGTGTGTCTGCTGGGTGTGAGTGGCCAGCCTATTGGGTGTAAAGAGTCAGGCCACAGGGGTCCCTTTAAAACCCTGTCACTACCGGATCTGCGCTTGACCTGCCAGGGAAGCAGGAGGAAGAGAAAGGTGGTAGTGGGAATAAGGGGTTGATCATTTTATATTTCTGATATTTCTGTACTCTGGCTTTGCTGATTACACCAAATGCACTTGATACCATGGGAATTAATGTTTAGTATTTGTCTTGACATTTTCCAAGTTGACATATGTTTGCCAAAATCAGCAGAACAGATGTTGGCAGGCATCTGTCCTGCTCAAGGGTCCATGAGCTACTTAAACTCTATTCACTTGACCATTCACACTGACCTCCTCCTCGATGAAAACAATATTTTTAAGTAATCTAAACATATAAGAGGAATGTAGCAAGAAATCACCAAAGATTGAAATTCATTTAAAAAAAGAGAAGAAAACCAGTTATAAACATAGGGTTGAAATGTGCCTGTTTCTGTACACCCATGGAAGTATCCAGGAGGTTTCTCTTCCCTTAAAGGACATGAAACAGGCTGAGTGACAACTCCAAAGTAGAACAAAATCAAAACTGAAAAACAGCAGAAATTAACCAAAACAGAAGATGCCTAGGTTGGAGAAACGGACGTCCTTTTACTGCCTTCATGCCCATTACAGTCATTTCTCAATATACCTACTAAAGCTGCAAGTGGTTGTGAAGACAGAAAGGGACATCAGAGCTAATCACCACAGTGATGCGACTAGATCTCAGTAATAAGAAACGCTGTGATGGAACAGTTCACTGGATCACGAGGAAGGTAGGGATAGATAAAGGTTGGGAGACAGAACCAAGAGAGAGAGTGGTCAATGATGACTGAAGTTCTGAGCAGTTGTAATTCTGCTGATTTGACATTTAGAGTCTTGAATGACTGGTTAGTTTTGTGGTCTGACTGCGTTGGGAATGATTTACCCTCAAAACTTGCTGAACAGCTGATTGTCTGTTTTTAGACTATATGTCATTGTATGATGTTTGGGTTGTATTATCACTGCTGCATCGTTATACATGTTCCTGGTTATTGTAACATATCCTCTTTGATTGATTACAGCATCATACTCCATGAGGTTTTCATTGTTGCTATACTTTAAGAGCCATTTATCTTCCCCCAATTGTTTAATTTGCCAATGTTCTTGTGTCCATGGTGTGCTCATGGACACGTTGGTCTCTGAATGTGGCCAGTCAAATTCGTTCGACATTGAAATAGACTCAAACATAGAATTCTGTAGTATCAGACTTTAATTCCTCCTGAGGTGAATCTACTGTCGCAAATAAACCTTAATCTCTGTGATACTTTATACGGCAGCTTGCATGTGTATAAACGCATTCTCAGGACATGAATGGAACGGAATGAGAGAAGCCCAATAAGACCAAATTAAAAGGCTTAATACAACTGTTTTGCGCCCTGTTCCTTACAGGTCTGTTTCTGTTAACCTTTGAAGAGAGATTATTGATGGTGTCAAAGAAGATTAAGCAGATTCAGACAGCAAAGGAGAGTAGATGTAAGGTGTTGAATGGAACAGATGTACGTATTTACTGAGTTGTACTTTCCACACTGCATCCATAAACAACAACTACATTATCTCTGTGCTGTCTTCCTGAGAGACTATGCACACAAAGACACAAGAGAGAGTAAACAGTTCAAGATGTTTCAAATTAAGAAAAAAACACTGTGAACCAAGTTTTACAGTTTAATTTCAAGCACACAGAAAGGGTGATGAGGTGAAGGAATAAAGTGGCTACATTTTGAAACCAGTCAGGGTTAGGGCTGATTTTAAGAGCTCTTCAATATAAGAAACCACAGAATGCACAACATATTAATATTAATAAATACGACCAATGAACAGCATTGGGTTTAACACCAAACTTTGTGTTTTATGGCCATCACATATCAAAGGTTATTTTCAAACTGCAAACATTTTTCCTCAAGACACTCGACCTGTGAGTGATGGAGTGTACTTGGTTTGTACATCAACATGTGTGTGTGTAGCGTATAGTGTATGTGTGTTTGTGAATGTGGTTGTGCAGCACTTGACAAATAAATCCAACCGCAGCGCAGTTAAGGTGGTTATGCTCTGAAACCTCGGGTCAGGCAATCAGAACAGGCAGCGGTGCAATGACGTATATAGCAAAAGGCACACACATGAATACACACACATAAGCCTTTCATTACAACTTCTTAACCCCCCCCCAACACACATACACAACCCTCTGCCCCCCCACACTCTCCCTTCCCATGTGTGTGTTTGTGTTTTTGTTTTGCTCTCAGTCTGTCTGCTGCTGCTGCTTCTGTTATGTGGAAAGTGCTGCAAAGCAAAAATTAAAAATGAATCATATCCTTTGATACAGTCTACGCTCTGGGAGTTGATATGCCAAATCAAGTTTTTCCTATAGAGGACAGCTCAATTCATGATATTTCCTTCTGCAGCGAACACAATAAAAATTTGCATAGTAAGTGTAAGAGCCAATATGCAAATTATTTATTAATACTAAATATCTAGTTAAAAATGATTAAACTTTAATAACAGTAATTTCATGTAAATTCATAATGTTTAAAATAGTTTTAAAGGCATAATTTAGTCATTTATAAATGATAAAAAGGTTATTGTTTATGTTTTTGGATGTTTATGTTATGACAGCACTGCGTAGTTAAAGTTGTGACGGATGTGACGTAAGCAGTTTGGAGTCCAACATTGATGGAAGCTACACAGTTTTTTGACCGTGCGTTAGACCGTTTGTTAAACCTGTATTTTATTTTGAAGTTTTTTCAGTAAACCTTTTAAAACGAAGGAAAGCTGTCCTGTCTTTTCGCTCGCGTTGCAAATACTGTGAGTTGACTCCAAAAAGTGGTACAGAGGACGAAGAAAGAGACGGAGTGCCACTACAGTAAGCTGTAATTTAAGGAGCAGTATGTAACTTTGACACTTAGCGATTAAAATTCAAAACATCGAAGAAAGCACCCCCCCCACCCCCCCCCGCTCCGTCTTCCCCAGAGTCGTTGCTCAAGCTGGTTGCCATGTGGAGGACATTGAAGCTTCAGTGTTTAACCCGCTCTGCTTTGGTCTGCCTTCTAACCTCTCCATTTTTCAAAAGCATCTGAGCTCCTTGCAGGTTAACAAAAATGTGCCCGTTTTTAATTTGTCACAGGTTGCTCTGGTCGAGTAGTTACCTGTTTAACCTGACTGCCTTCATACAATTTTATCTCCATTTTTTAGATCCAAATACTGCCAAAGTACTCCATACTTGTTTCCATCTGGGTAATAGTTCACATCTGGGTAGACTATGCTGGTATGGAAGTAGTCGTCGGCATTCTGAGCCTGAATAAAGAAAATATCAATAACAAGGAACCGACTAGTAATTCTGGTGCTAGCTAGCAAGGGTGATGATAATGTTTAAAAATGTATTTGAAAAAAAAACATGCACATCCTTAGTCAAGAGTGGATACAGGCTGGA